TGTGCATTTCTATACTGTCCTTTACATCACTGCTCTGAGGTGCTGCAATTTAGTATCCTCATCTCTGTTAGAGATGCTTGTTTTGAAACCAGACACAGTTTCAGCATCTCGCAAAAGATTTCCAAGTTTCACCACTAATCCAGTTTAAGGAAAGAAAAAAAAAAAAACCCCTACAAAAATAAAGGGCTGAGGAGGGAAATACCTCTTTGTTTTTGTAGATGGAGGCTTACACTGCAGGTTGACATTCCAGCAATATTAACTTCATTAAGACAGGAATGCAGTGCTGCATTCTTGCACGGGAGGGAGGATGGGGAAGATGCTGGGCTGAGCTGGGGAGGAGTGGGACCCCCAGGGAGGGCTGAGACGTCGGGGTGTCCTCCTCCTTCATCCGGGCTTATTCTTGGGGTTTATGTGCACCTCTCAGTAGGCATGATGATGACCTGGAGTCCTCAGGCTTGGTATCTGGGCTCTCCCAGAGTCACCGCTCACCTAATTAACACGACAGAGATAAATACGGGCTCTGGGGTGTGGGTAACAAATGGCTTTACTACAGTGGAACTGCTCTGTCATCCTTCTCCCCTTTCTGTCCCAGTACCCGTGTGTGATGGGATGGGTCAGGGTGTATCACTGTTCTTGCCGTTGCCATCTTTCCCTCGTGGATGAGGAATAATTCTTGTATTGCCCCAAACACCTCTGGGCATGGGATCATTCCTGAGCGAGAGGGGAAAATTGACCCCACAGCTTGTGACAGCCATGCAGGTTCCCCACCCTCTTTACAAGGCGGCAGCTGAACACCGTGGTGCTGGCACAACCGATGTGGGCTTTACCCAACACTGCTGCACCATCAGGAGCAGCCCCAGTCCCGCGCGGGAGCCCTGCCCTGGGACTGCCGAAGCCCAGGGGGGAGTGGGTGCCCTGCTCGTGTTACCCCACTCCTGTTGCTTGCTGTGCAATTGCTTCCTAAACGAGCTTTTATTTGCATTTTAAGAAAAGCTTTACAGAGAGACGCTTATCAGCTTGGCAGCTGACAAGAGTCAGAGACAAGTCCAAGAGATGGACCAAACCCCTCTCGCTCACTGACTAGGACTTCTATCAACCTTTTCAAGGCAGCATTATCTGATCTTAATGGACTTAGAAGCAAGGGTTGGGGCCAGTATAGCCCTGCAGCCTCCCTATCTTACAGGCCTAAGTGAAGAGGCATGTACAAGATGCAGTCTCTATGATGCTAAAACCTCTTCCTCTCCTTGTCGAAATAGCAAAACAACTTCTATATCACCTTGTGAGCTACAGCACTTAAATTCCCACTACTAAAATTTTCAGGATTTCTGTACAGTAATTTCAACAGTGCTGTTAAATAGTGTTGTGTATTTTTGTGATATGTCAAGCAACATGGTAAACAGAAGTGTAATTATATTAAAATTACAGCTGCAATCACTACAATGCAGGAAAGACCATAGAGACGGAAACAGGACTTCTTTGGGATAGTCCTCTCTACTTATGTCCAGTGTTACTGGTATTTTACACAAGGCTTCCTCTTAGTGTGGTGTGTGGACCAATTCTGGCTTGCACCAGGTGTGGTTTTTCTCACTTGAGGTGGGAGCTGAAGGAGGTGGCGATGGGGGGTTGTTTCGCTTGCTTGTTTTTTAAAAGCTTGCAAAGGAAATATTTGCTGTATCTGCCCCGGTAAGGAACTGGAATGCTCTGGGAGGATGGCTGCAAGGTAGCTCAGAGCCCCCTTCAATATCTGCTGTAACACTGCCAGTGTACTTCATCCAGTGTACTTCATCTGCTGTACAGACACAAGTGCAGGCTCTCATTTACTTGTAAACCTCCATTAGAAAAATTTCACCTCTATTCTCCCCTTCTTTTTTTTTTTTCTGTTTTTTCTTTTTTCCCTTTCTTCCCTGTTCCTTTCATGTCTAAGGAGCAAGCATCTTGGCACTTAATGTCACCTGTCAAAACACTTTCCTGGGCAAGACCAAAGAGTAGAGGGACTGGTCAGGTGAATGTGCTCAGCTGGCATTGTTGCTGAAGCCTAAAACACCCATCAGGTCTTTTTTTAAGGGACTTGAAAAGACTCGGGGAAAATTCTTTCACTGGCTGAGTTGCTTGGATTTGATAATTGGTAAGCAGTGTTACAAAACATTGGCTTTGAAAGCAGCACAAAGCCCTTTAAAGACGATGTGCTGTTCAGGCTGCCTCTTGTTCACCCTCATCTGGGTGGAGAGCAAGTCCTGGTCCTTTGAGGCAGGCCAGGTTTCCCTTCCTTTCATTCATCTTTCTGCTCTATGAAAGAGGTTGGGTGTGAGCAGGCGATGCCAGACTTTCTGAAGAGGGCTTTTGGGTTTAGTCCTCTTCCTTTTCACCATTTCAGAGGATCCCATTCATATGTAGAGGATGAAACCTGTCAAATACCTGACTCTGCCCACTTGCTTATGCCATGTTGGACCATGGTGCTACATGATGGCAGAGTGGAAGTTTGGGTAGGGCATACTTGTTTAATAACAATAAAAACCTGAATCTGCTAAACTGACAGTACAGTTGGCTTGGTAAGATGATGTTTCCCTTCTGTAAGTGGCTTCTTGCTTATAAAGCAAGAATTCTGCATTTCTGGCTAAGGTGTTTGGGAAACTTTAGCTCAGCATCTCTTGAATCAAGGTGTAGCTGGCCTTCCTTCCATACTGTGTGGAGTAGCACGTGTACTTAAGAGACTCACTGCCCTCTCTTTTCCCTGCCCTGTGTATTCCCTGGTCAGTTTTGTTTTAAAGTGAATTGCTTGGAAACAACTTGTGTAGTCATATAAGTATTTCATGAATAAGAATTTCTAATTCTTTAACAGCTTTTTCCTCTTGTCTTTCAGATAATGAATATGTTTTTATAGACCTGGAGCAGAAGCTTAGCAAATACTTTTCAAAGGAATGGAAGAAAGAGACAACCAAAGTAAGACAGATGTTAATCTTGGAGGCAACTGCTTTGGTATTAGAGTACACAGTAAAATGAAAGCTCTTAAACTAAGGTCCATAAAAGCATTTCTTGAAGATGGTCTGAAGAATGCTGTTCAGTAGCAAGATACAGTGACTTGTGCACGCCTGTACAATTAATCAAAAGACCTAACAGAGCCCCTTAAACAACTATACCTGAGCAATAGTAGCCACATTAGCTGCTACAGGTCAGCTTTCCTTTTGGACTTAGCCAAGCCCGTGAAGAGTCTGGAGACCTCATTTGTTATCCTTAAGCAGAACAGCCTAAAATGACCTTTTGTGACTTGAACCTGATATGAGGGAGGGGGCTGGAGCTGTGACTCTTCCAGAGTACCTGCAAAAGGACAGTGGAGAGAAAGGAAGGATATTTTGTTCAAGAAGAGTCTTAGTTCTTTAAGGCTAGCCAGACCTGTCAAGGGACAGAAAAGCTACTTGAAATAAAGACAAGCCTGTGTAATTGTTTAGTGCCGGTCATTCAGACATGGTAATGCCTGTTTGTGTGTGTCATTATTAGAGGAGCCACAGTCTAGAACAAAGTGTAGTATGCAATTGCATTCAGATATCTTAATTGGCTCATTATGACTTTTTCCACCTTCCTAAAGGGTTTTCTTTTGCAGAGTAGGCACGCTTGCCATTTCTGCAGCTTAAAGAAGTTTGCAGATGACTAGTGAGGTTCAGGGATCTCTCTTAGCCCATACTCCTTCTCCCAAACAAGTGAGGGTTACTTCAAAGACAGCTGCCAGTTGTGCAGAGGGCTGCCTGTCCAGCCAGGGAGGGTTTCCCGAGGCAGGTGTTTCTGCCATCTCGGCATGGGGTACGCTTTGTGGTTGCTTTAAGGCTGGATTCTTGCAACCCATTTTAAGTCAGGGTAAGTGTCGAACCTCTGATGTGAAGTGACTCATAAAAGGCTGAATGAGTTGCCATTGGCAGTACTGAAGTCTGAGAGGAGTTAGGCTATCGGACAGGGTTAATTAGACAAGGTTAGCAGACAGGGATTTAGTTCCTATGAAGAGATTTCAGGTGGAAAGCCCAGTCCAGCTGATACAATAGGGTGACTATGAACAAGTTCCAGAAATAAAATGTAAATATTTGCATGATGATCAAGAAGTTGCTGTCTGCATCAGATGTACATGGCATGCCACGTACCTTGTCCCAGTGAAATGAGTCTGACCAGCAAAGCCTTGGAACTGCCCGTGTGAGCAAAGTTACCTGTATGAACATTAAAGAAGAGAGTGGCAAAGTATGAAAGATGAGAGAATGGGCTAGTAAGAGAAGATGTTCCTTTTTTTTCCCCTCCCCTCCTTTTTTTTTTTTCTTTTTTCTCCTGTTTAAACAAGCCTGTAAGTCTGAAAGGTAGGCTGTAGTTAAAACAACAGAACCCTTGTCGGCTTTCTTCTAATAGACATCTTCAGTGTGAAGCAGACACCAGTGTCTCCTTTTGGTCTGTGGCTACAGGAAGGTGTGAATAACTAAACATTAGCCCCGCCAAACCAAAGGCGAGGAGTTAATATCAGGCTGGTGCACCTCAGCCTCGGGCAGTAAATGCTGAACTCAGCAGCGCGTGTGTCCCTGCCGAGTGATGCGGTGCGGCGCAGAAAGCCGGTTACTCCTAGGCGTGCCCTGGAAACGCCGCAGCCGTGCCAGCCGGGCACCTTGCCTGGTGCTCTGAGGGAGGCTGCGTTAAACTCGCTGTGTTCAGCGCTAACGCGTCTGCGGCGCTGCCAGGTGCTGAGCTAGGTAACTCCGGGCCAGGCTGGGCATCCCCGGGCTACGCTGGGGCTCTTTTATACCTGCTCATCCTCCCCCGCCATCCAAAAATCTTCTGCCCTCCCTAGGATGTTTTGCCATTCAGCATGTCTAAATGTTTTATGATGCCTCGTTGTTGTGAGCCTCCAAGACAGTCAGATCTCCCCTGAAACTTGCCAGGAGCTAAGAGTAGAAAATGAAAAGCGGTATGGGGAGTGAGCTTGGGAGAAGAGAACATTACCAGATGGGGTAACAGTAATTTTGGATGCTGAACGTTACTTAACTTCTCTTCTGTCTCTGCAATAGGGAACGGAGAAATTCAGCCCTCCTTTTGTTGCATTCTTTAGAGTACAATACTATGTCGAAAATGGAAGAGTAATAAGGTAAGTTCCCTCCTGTGGTAGTTACTGCATTTTGAGTTATTCACTGTGCTCTTAAAAGGCAGGAAAAATAATGTTTCTTTGTTAAGCTCCATCTCTGTGAGCTCACAGAAATAAGCTTAAAAAATCTGCTTGATTTTTTCTTTTTTTTTCTTTTTTTTTTTTTTTTAAGATCTTCATAGAATTCCTTACACAGCCGTGAATGTTTTCTCCCTGAATCATACTCCTTATCCCTAGGAAAGTTGTGACTGCTTTTCCATTTGTGTTTAGAGAGCAGGTTGAATGACAACAGTATCAAAATACAATTAACACTCTTTTACTTGAGTCTTTTGGTTGTATGAAAAGCATCAGATGAATATACCAAATATAGCTATTTATACTCCAGAGCACTTGCTAATAATTTTGGTTCTGTGTTTTGTATCTGAGCAGTGCTCTGTGCAGCTTACTCCTGGAAATGAACTTTTGTGAATGGACAAAAGAAATTACTTCATAAGTTAGAGTTTTGCATTTGAGTCTACTCCATTGACATGGAATATGTCACTGCTGCACTCAAAACACCACAGTATAGAACAAAGGATGAGGTAGTTGAAAATGAACAACTGACAGTGTTAATTTGCATCAACACTTCTGGCGTGGCTGTGACCCTGGAGCAAGCCAAGCTCATTCAGTTGGATTAAAATCTTTACCAAATATTTGGCATTTGTTCTCATCTTGAAAAAAAGCTTAGTGGTCTTTCGGGTTCTTTACAGAGTCTTTCATTTTGGATACAGGGGAGTGTTTCTTCTGGAGTCTGTTTGGCTCTTAAGTGTTTTTGTTTAGTTTTACTTTTAGGTACAAAGGGGGATTGCATGTCATTCTCCCACCCTGATGTACATGTCATATAGCATCACAAGCAACTTTCTCTTGCACTAGTGATTTGAGAGATTTGTGAAGCCGTGCTGAGGTAGTTACATGGCCCCTTCATACTATCTCTACAGACACGCTTTTATGAGCAGACTATAGTGTCCAGCACCTCATCTATACATTCATGTCAGCAGCTTGCTTCCCATGAGCTCTTATAGCAGGGGGGTGTACGGGTTATCAATGCTACACGATAGTTATGCCTTATCAGACTATCCCTGTTCAGCAGCTTGAGGAAGAAGACAAAAACAAGCCCAAGGCTCCTGTGTCTTTTGATCTACCTTGCAGAGAATTAGCTGTTGAAAAGTACCTTGAGCCTAAGGCAAGGTGAAATGCAAAAGCAGTGCCAGGTTTAGAGGGGAAAGGAGGACAGGTGTGCAAGAAACAGGACTGGGATTCAAGGGAGTTGACTCTGCTGACTGCTACAGGCTTTCCAGAGAAACAGAAGTGCTTGAGGTAGTCAGTCTCCAAAACAGGTGTGACATGATTTTTCTTTCATCTACCTTCTGCCCTAACTTCTTAGATCTCAGGCTCCTCAAGATAGAAGCTATCATTTCTCATGTTTGTACAACACTTTGTGGGAGAAGACCTTGATCTTGGCTTGGTGCTCCCGACACATACATAACTGTATCAGGGTGGCATTGGCATACATCAGGGATGTCAAAGTTTAATCCCTCTTCTTAGAAAATATGTGTTTGAGGGGCCTTATCTGAGCCTGAACTTTCTTTTCTTCAAGTAAATTTGCCTTTATATCTTGCAGCGATAAGGTGGCACGGCAGCTCTACTACTGCCATCTCAAAGAGCAAGTACTTATGTCTCGGTGCAACCACAAAGAAGAAATCTATTTCTTGCTGGCTGCCTACAGCTTACAGGCAGACTTGGGCAACTACAGGGAGAAGGTCCATGCTGGCAAATATTTTGAACCTCAGGCTTATTTCCCACAATGGGTAAGTCTGGAGGGATCTTTCTGTCAACAGATTGTGCATGTGTCGGGGGGTATGTCAATGTGGGTGGTACCTAACTGCAGCCATGCAACTTCCCCCAACTCCCACTGCAATGATCAGGCAGAGTGGTAGAGCATCACGCTGAGTTTCCCTCAGGAGATAACTCCTCTCTTTCCACTGGATGTAGGTGCCCATTCCTCCCAGGCTCACTTATCAGTGAGATGGGTGATATGTACCCTTACTTGGTGAGGGAATGTGTTGGTGTCAAGTGAATAGCTCTTGACAGTGTAGCTGTCTGTTTAATTCTTCTATGGCTTAAAGGGTTGTGTGTTTGCAGTGGTACATCAGCAAGATCTGCTCAACCTAAGCTCTACAAAAAACCTCAGGGCCATAAAGCCAAGTCTATTGCCTTTTGTTCCTGTCTCTGTAATGCTTACCTCTGGGATGAATAGACCCAAACCCTAAGGGCTAGTACTGCTGTGCAGTGCCTCTGGTGCTTGCTTTGTCATTAATCTCTGGCTCAACTGCAGTAAGAGAAAGGGGAAGGGCTGAGATGGGTTTGCATGTTTGTTTATAAGAATGTGCACATAGGCTTGTGCCCTTCAAGACTTACAAACAGCTTAGAAAGCCAAGAATTGGTGTAGTTGTTAAACGAAGGCAAATTAGCTAAGACTCTGTCAGGCTGGTTACCTGTGGAAAGTTCTCCTCTTGGGGTGAAATGTCAAGAAAACTGTTGATAAACACTTAAGTGCCCATAAAAATAGAAAGGAAAGCTAGCTTTGCTACAGACATGTCACTGTAATGCCTGATGACATCTGCTGGAGCAGGATGTTCCCTGGGACCTGGACAGACCCTCCTCTGCAACCTGACTTAGTTCTGGAGCCGTCTCCTCCACTGTGATAGCAGTTTTTAGCCCAGCCCATGCCTTGGGATAGCTGTGAAAAAGCCCAGATGCCTCTGGTAGTTGACTGCTTGTCGCCAGGCGAGTCATGTCTCCCCTTAAAGGTGGCACTCTCCCCTGCTTTGGGAAGGAGGTTCAGAGCAGTGACAGAGGTTGCGTCAGGGAGGCAAGGCTGGTAGAGTCTTCTTTACACACAAGTCCTAGCCTGCCTGCCTTGCTGTGCAGAAACGCGACTTTACCCAGACAACAGGCCTTTTTCATCCCATGCGTTCCCTGCTATGGGGCACCTGGCAGGAGGTAGCTAACAAAAGGCTGGAAAAGGTGGATCTCATGCATGCTGTTTCTGGGGCAGTTAAAAGTCTTATCAGAGGCTATCGCTCATCTGGCAAACATTGCAAAGGCCAAGGCAAAGCCTGGCTCACCTGCGCTGAGCCACAACCCCAAGCAAGTATGTGGGTGATTTATTACATCATTACAAAGAGCAAAATCTGGCAGGCATGGGGACGCTTCTCTCCCTGCCCCTGGGCTCCCGTGGGGAGATACTGAGCTATCTCCTCCAACACGATCTCTTCCTTCAACACGTGCCTGAGATCATTTGGCTGAGGGCTGCCCCAAGTCTCGTGCTAGTGAGGAGAGGCGGTGCTGCCGCAGGGTGATCAACCCGGCTTTGAACTGTGGAGCTGGCAGGTCTCTTTCTGCTGACGTTGCACAGCTGATGGCATGGATGTTGTCCTCCACTGAGCCCAGCCTTCCTTGTGGGAGGGTAGCTAATCTGACAAGGCATGCAGAGGAGGGCAGAGGTGTTACTGAACAGAGTAGATGAGGAGCTTAGTTTAAAATGAAACTGCCTGGTGATGGGGGAGGTTGCTCCCAGCAGGATGTTCTGGGTACCTGGTGGGATCTAGTTTAAAATGCCCCCGATGATGGGACGTTTTGTGAATTGAATTCAGCCAATACTCCTCTTACCTGTCACTGCTGCTCGCAGCCTGGAAGGGGCCAGTCTGGCACAGGAGGGGCCTGGGCTGCCTTGTAACCTTGTACAGAGAGGGCATGTGGGCAAGCGTGGGAACTGGGCACTCGCAGGGCAAGGGCAAAAGGCCCAGTGTGTTTTTTTTTTTTCCTACTGCTCGGCAAAGCCACATGCCTGCCAACCACTCCTGATAGATACAAAATACCTCAAGATAGCATTATCCACCCCTTCGAGGATGGAATACTAAATAAGCCTACTGTGTAGTTTCTGGTCTTAAAAGGACCACCTAGCATTTCTGCAGTGTTTGGAGATGTTGCTGTTGATTGTGTTGGCATGCAGAGCAGTATTTGCTATCTGTCCATAAGCATTTATGGATGCCAAGAGTTAGGAAATCTAATTCCAGTGCTTAAAAATGAAAAGAGCTGACATGACCTCTGTAGTCTTGGTCTGTTACGATTTTGGAGGATCTGTTTGGAGACATCAGTATCGTCTGGGCTGCTTTAAATGCTTATCCTCCAGGGAGGTAGAGGTGAACGTGGACTAATGTCTTGAGGGACCGAATGAACCTCCTCTGCCTCCAGTCTCTGCATTGCTGTTGATCACACCTGCCTCCGTGGGGATCACTGAATAATTGCTGACCTGTTTGTTTTCCTTGTGGTTTAGATAATTGCAAAGAGGGGGAGCGACTACATCTTGAAACATGCCCCAGAGATGCACCGAGAACAGGAAGGGCTGAGCGCTAAGGAAGCAGTGCTGAAGTTCATTAAGGAGTCCTGCCTGCTGGAAGATGTGCCTGTCCACTTCTACAGGCTGCAGAAGGTTAGGCAAAGATCTTCTTATTTTGAACTTCTCTCCCACTATTAATTGGCTGCACCATTGCATTTTTCACTTTCTGTTTATTTGAGGGACAGTTGCCTCTGATTCAGAGAGGCCAAACAAGTCTAAAATGTTCACCCATTGAGGCCTGTCCCCACAAAAAATCTGTTGCCAATACACAGGTATAGCTAGAATCTAGCTTTGTTCCTTGGCCAAGAAACTGGCCACAGGAATGGCAATACTTAATTTTTGTCCCTGCCTGTCAATAGACTCACACCAGGGAAATCACCGAGAAGCTTGCTTGCTTTTTTTTTTTTTTTGTTTTGTTTTGTTTTGTTTTGTTTGGTGGTGGTGTGTTTTGTTTTGTTTTGTGTGTTTTTTTTTTTTTTGTTGCAGTCCATTGAAATGGTGACAAGAGGCTGGCCAGCTTTCACACAAATGCCATGTAATAACTGAAGGTGACACTGAGTCATCCTGACTTTCTTACCCCACTCCTCCTCCAACCTTGTCAGAGTGGTTGGTGTTTTTTCAGCTGTATATCAGTTTTGGAACTCCTGGATTGCTGTTTGTCCCTGAGTCTTAGACTCTTTACCCAAGCCTGCTTAAACAGAATGTGCTGCATTTTCACATGCTAAGATAGTTTAGGTCTAGAAATAGGACTAAAGAGAAGTTTTCAGTTCCACTTAGGTGAGTGAAACCTGCTCGCGCAATTAGGAATGACTTAGACTTTTTTTTTTCCTGAATGGAGATACTCTACTTTGTCAGACTCATAATTGAACTTCTTCATTGTTTGTGCTCAGTGGGAATTATGTCTGGGAGGTACCCGTGTCCTTTGACCAGATCTAGCAGCTCTAGTTTACTGGAGAAACATGCATTTTTCTGGAGGAAATAAGTTCCAGTTTGGTCTGTAGTCCAGGCTTAGTTTCACTTCCTTGTAAACCATAGATGCTCCCCCTAGGTCTCCTCTGTCCTCTCTGTTCTCTCTGTTTTGCTTCTAATGCTGTTAATGATGCCATCGTAAAAGGGTTAGTTACACTTGAATGCCATAAGAAATCCAGCTGGTAGGACATGATACAATTTACATCCAAAAGCACTGGGCCTGTGGAATCGGTCACTCTTAACATCCAAATTCCTTTCTGACTTGAACTTACATTTTACGCATTGCTAAATCCTTGGTGTGTTGTTTGATCCACAATGTGCTGCTCTTCCTTCTGCGTGACACAGTTACCTCATCTCGTGATGAGATGTCTTCCTCCTAGGTGACATCTGGGTCACAAAGCTCCCAATTGAGTGCCCAGGGGTGCCAGGTGAAGGTGTCAGTGTGCTGGCTGCCCTGAGATTTCAAAAGCAGTTGCTTTTACCCTCCTCATGGCTGCTACTTGAGGTTGGGAAACCCAAAAGAAAACACAGCACTGAGCCCTGTATCTCTCCTCCAGACCAATACTGATTTACGAAGCTCATTGCCCTTAGGAGACAGAAAGCATTTCTTAATGACTTTAAACTGGAGACATGGATGGTACCAGGAGCAAAGAGTGAAGTAATGTGATGGTGTAAGACTTGCATCTTGACAAGCCAGACAAGGAGAGGAAGTTTTGATGTAAAGTTTGAGCTCTGTGAGCCCATAAATTTTTATCCCAAAATTTTCTTCTTTCTGCTCCTCCTAGCAAGAAAAGTATGTGTTCCCCTCCCTAACTCTGCCATGCCAGGAGAGACTGAAAGAACTAGTTTATGATATTTTTTTGGTCTTCAAGCAAAGGAATCTCACTAGAGACCAAGTATATCATACGAAGATACAGCATGAGGAAAAACAAGGCAGTATTCCAACCCAGCCGCAAACATTTAAAACCACCTGCTCCCAACACTGACATCAAAAGCTTAGAAGGAAAGTCCCTGTAGCTCTGGGCATTGATTAGCTCCCTCTCGGCTAAGGGACAACTAAGGTCCAGCAAGTCCCTGGACAGGAACAGCGATGTCATGGCAAGGAGAAGGGGACAGGCTTCCCTTCTGTTTTGGGCTCTGTCACCTGGAGAGCGAGAGTGGTGCATGTTCTTGGGAATAGCAGGGATGGCATGTGGTAGTATGAGAGGTTACAAGGTACCTCTGAGAGCAGTAATTGTCCATGCCCTCAAATCACTAAAGCTACAGGATTCCCTGTCCAGGGCAGCCAAGGTGCTTGCTGGTGAAATGCTTGAGACGCCAGCACAAGGGGATTTTAGGTGTAGATATTTCAGGGGTCAACAAGGCAAGGTGCACTTTACAAACACAATAAAAACCAAATAAGCTGATGGCATCTGCCTGATGAGCAGTCCTGCTACCTCTCCTGTAATAGGTGCCAGAACAAGAGCGTGGTCTTTGTAGATTAACCTTTGACTCTGGGCCCTTCTGTTCTTTTAGGATAAGAAGGAGGATCGCCCAACAGTTATCCTGGGCCTGACCCTGAGAGGAATGCACATCTATCAGGTAACAGACTGCCGTGAAAGCCTTCTGGTGGAGCATTAACTCTGCCCAGCTCCCCTGTCCTCCCCCCACCACAGCTCCTCTGCCTCCCCTGTGAGCGCCAGGCTCTGCATATCTCAAATTCTTGGTTGTTTGCAAATTCTTCGCACATCGCTGACTCCACCCTGTACCTGCCAGTCCCTGTGTCACTCTGAGTTTGATGTGTTGCAGGAAGTGAATCACGTTCGCCAGCTCCTCTACGACTTTCCCTGGTCACACATCGGGAAGCTGGCGTTTCTGGTGAGTGTGACGGAATGGAGACCACCTGGCAGCAGGCGGACAACCTGGGAGCTGGCAAAGCCATCGGCCCACCCGCCCTGCCATGGCAATTCCTGTCACTCGTATGCACAAGACTGCAGCTATCTCTGGTAGCTGTGTGACTGAAAACATGCTCTTGCTCATCTCAGTGGCATGTCTCCTCTTTATGTAGGGGAAGAAATTTGAGATCCAGCCAGACGGTTTGCCCTCTGCACGGAAATTGGTTTACTACACGGGTTGCCCCTTCAGGTCACGGCACCTACTGCAGCTCCTCAGCAACAGCCACCGGCTCTTTCTGAATATCCAGCCAGTGTTGAAGCAAATCCGAAAACTAGAGGAGGCTGAAGGTATGTGACAGAAGAGCAGGTGACTTTGGTGAGGGGAAGAGTACAGCATGTTGGGCTCTGCTGTTGCTTCAGGGTGGCTGTCTCTTTATCTACTTAATGGTGTTTCTGCCTTACCAGAAAGATGGTGGGAGAATTAGAGCTGTTACACGTGTTTCAAGTCCATTACTGGGAAGTGTTCCCACACTCCTAGACTCTGATCAGAAAGTGTGTGTGAGCAGCAGAGAGGGGATATCTTCCTTTGAGAGCACGCTTCCTCTTACTTAATTTGTGCACATTTGACATACACTTCTGAGTGGAAGTAATATTGAATAAAATGCTTTCCATTGGGATAAGATCTTCTTGTGTTCAAGGAGCAGTACAAGTTGTGAGCATGTCTTAACTTTTTAGTGCCTTTTACTAAACACTGCACACAAATTAGTCTACAGTGTCTGACAGTTAAGAGCTAGGAGTTGCAGATGCCAGAAACAGCCTGAGAGCGGATCAGGACTCCCAGAATTTGTCTTTTCTGATGTTGTCCCCTCTCTGTAGGAACAGTTATTGACAGTCCCTGGTATCCTTCCGGGCAGAATTCAGTCATTTCATCACCTCTTGGCTTGTCTCCTCCCATTTACAGCTCTGCAAGCTGGGTCTCCTACAACTTCTCAGCCTACCTGTCCCAGTGACTGTTTTTAATGCATTGCGTAGGTCTTCTTTTGGAGGATTGCATCCCCTTTCCTCTAGCCTTCTCCTGAATGCTTTTTCCTCTCTACTTCTTTCCTGGCTGCTGTTTCCTGCAATCACCATTCACACTTTCTCTGTCTTCTCTAGGGTTTATAAGCCTTGTAGCTTACAAACTGAGGTCAGTAGAAGTTAGCCAGCAGTAGTTGGTCCTCTTGTCTGAGGACAAAGGCTGACTCCTTCCAGGGAGAAGTCGGGAAGAAACTTGTTTCTGTCTTTTGCCCATCTCTACTAACTCTAAGGAGCTGACATCTGTCTCTGAAGTGGTGATCGCTGGTTGTGTGGAATTAGTGTACAGGGCAAGGTGGCCCTTGGTCTCATCCAGCTTGGTTATTTCTGTCTTTCTCTTCAGTGGGGCTATAGAAGTGGCCTTGAGCTGTGTGGCTGCAACCGGTGGCACATGCCAGTCACCTGTAGAAAGGGTCGCTAATAAAGTGTGTGTGGGCAAAAGGCCCTAGGTTTTGTGTCTACTAGTGTCTTGTGGATTTCTTGACCACCCTCAGCACACCTCTCTTTAGGTAACAAATACAAGCCATTGGAGAAATATTTAATAAATCATTAATGCATGCCAGCCAAGGGGATCCTGTTCTTAGCTGTCTCCACACGTTGGTGACTGTTTTGAGAAACAATCAGTGCACTCTGTTTCTAAAGACTGTGCACTTACGTTAGCCAAGTAATTCCTTTCTTTGATCTTTTCTTCATTCTGGAAGCTACTATTTTCTGTATCATAACTGTGTCTACCAGCCTGTTGAATTCAGGAGATGCTGGGTTTACTGCAAGTATAACTGAATAATTCTCTTACAACCAGATGAGCATCCCAACATCTGAGCAAACAAAAATACAAAACTGTCCCTGTATTTGTTCAGTAGCTGCAGCAGTTGTTTCTTAATTGTCGGGTTATGCCAGTCCCAGCTTACTGATTATTTTTGCTACCCTTCCTTTGGTGTTGCTTAAAGTTCCCACTGGTTTCTGTCATCTGTCTTCCTCAGAGAAGAAGCGCTACCGAGAGTCCTATATCAGTGACACGCTAGACATGGACCTGGACCCGTGCGATAAGAACTCGCGCGGCAGCGGGAGCAGCGGGGGCAGCCGGAGGGATAACCGTCTCTCGCGCCAGTCCACGGGGAGTCACAGCAGCTCTCACACATCTGGCATCGAGGCTGACTCCAGGCACCGGGTGTCGGTGGAAATGTCAGTGGATGAGCCCTTCAGCATTGACCGTGTGCATAGGAAAGAGAAATCCTGCAGCTCAACCATCAGCTACGGTAGCTCTGGCATCGACAGTGGCAGCAAAGGGCGGGCTGAAGATGAATCTCAGGATGATGGTAAAGAATTTGGAGATGTGGAGCAACTTCCAAGCCTGCTCTTGCCTTCTTCTGCAGGAGAATGGGGAGTAAGAGAACGTGAAGCAGCTTGGAGCAGAAGTGTAATGCTAACCCTTCTCCTGCCACTCTCTTCCTCCTAGAGCTTGAGCTGGCAGTAGATGAGCCAGAGGAGGTGCCTGTAGATGAGCCTTTAGAGGGAGACCAGTTAGAGGAGGCCACTGTGGGAGAATCTGTTGAATCTCTTCCCATAGATGCTGCTAGCTGCCAAGGTGAGATGGCTTTCTGCTACTGCTCAGTGCTTTTCTTTAAGCTCTAGTAACACAAAAATACATTTGGCAAGCCAGGCATAATCTGAGGGATCTAAGAAAGCTGTATGTTCTCCCAAACAACTGCCAGTGCTACTTACTGCCCTACTGCAACAGAATTTGAAGTCAGCTCATCTAGACATGTAAGGCCAGCAGGCTATATTGTACAGTGCTGCCCTCCTCTGTGCTCCTCAAGGTCTCCTCCTCCAAATTTGCCAAGTTTATACTCAGTTAATGACAGAAAGATAACGAAGGTAAACCTTTTGTAGTGAAGGAATTTTGCTTTAAAAACTTGTATACCACAGAACAGCCAAGGGGTTCAACCACAGATTCATGGGCTAGTGGCAGGAATTAATAGGTGAAGTTTTGTGGCTTGTGATACAGGGAATGCTAGACAATGGGGTCACACAGGAGCTGTCTGGCCTTAAGACAGACAGCCTTTCCAGCAAAGCAAGACGGGTGAATATGGGACAAGTTGGTGAGAAGCTATTTTCTTGAGAGTTTTTAAACATTGATCCTTAGGGGCAAAAAGGAGTCCTTGTGAGCAAAAATCCCAGCGCACTGGGGTGCTCACGGATGTATACTTATATTTATAGGATAGCAGTGCTTGAATGTGGCCTGTGACAACAACTTCCCTTTTCACCAGCCCATAAAACCTCAAACCTTCGTCTTCTCCTTTGCAGCTATAAATCAGGAATCGCTGTCTGTGATACAAGTCACGCTAATAAAAATGCGAGGTCAAAGTGTGGAATCCCTTCACCAGGTAAGGTGGGGTGCTCGGCAGGAGGGTCTATGTGTGGGCGTTGAACCAAGGTCTAGTGTAATGGAGACAGCTGTAAATCAGGTGAACTTGATTTGTCTGTATTTGACTGATTTTTAAACGGTGTAACAAAAAACAGCTGTTGGCCAGCTACTGCTATCAGGAATAGGATGAGAGCAGTGTTTGGGTCCAGAATAGTAGAGGGGTTTGGAGCAGTCTGCATGGAAATCTTGCAAGCCAGCTATTATCTGCCTTAGGCTTCCAGATGGGAAATGGAAAATAAACCACTTGCAAATTTTCAGTGCAATATAGAGCCAAGACTATCCGTGCAGTTTGGATGTGGGATGCGAACTTGATCATCTTCCTGCTCCTGAAGCCAGAAGGAGCTCACATCAGAGCAAAACCAGATGCTGAAGCTCTAATTACTATCATTTGTGTGATTATACTATGTGTGTGCTGAAGTCTTTGTTGTCAACATTTTCTTTTCATCAAACTCTTGAGAAAAGGCAACTATATATGGTAAAATGTGTCATATTGTAAGTTGTACTTGGAAAAAGCTTATTAAAATGTCATTTTAAGGCCAAACAGTATTTATTTTCAAAGAATAGCTGCACCCACTGGGGTAGAAATGTTGTGTGTTGGTTTTTTTTTTTTTAAAAAACAAGCCTCCACCATTTCTTCTCTCTCTGAATCCAGGTTAGCCTTACCTACTAAAAGAACTTTAAAAATCTGTTCATTGTTTTCCCCTACTCCTCTGAACAAGGACTTCAATCACTTCTTAGGACTTTTTTTCTCTTTTCATGTTTCCTTCTGGACCCAGTCAAAAGTGATAAGAATTTTGCACTTATCAGCAAAATAGTCCATAAAATGCTACAGGAGATTTAAATAAAATCTTGGTTATTTTTTCCAGAGCTGAAGACTGTGCAGTACAAATGATAATGAATTTATTCCTATATTTGAGTGGAATGACTTAAGAGTGCAAGGCAGGGAGTGGGCATCTTGCTTAAAGTAATGTTCTTAACACTACTGCTTTTACCAACACATGCTTAACCTATTAATTGGGCGGCATCTGTTTTATAAGAATGTTTCTGATCAACACAGGACTGTCTAAGCAATTGCAAAGACATGGCAGCCGCTTCCAAGTATCAAATATTTAGTGCATCTTTAAAAACAAACAAAAACCCGCCAAAACCCCAGACCTTCCTTACAAGGCCGTGTAACTAAAGGCTGCAGGACTGGGTTTCCTTAGGCTTGACTGGACCATACAGTGTGTGCCTGTTTCTGGGACTGCAACTGAGCCAGCACAGCATTTCCTTAGGGTAGTTTTTTAATTCCCATCCTGTGGAGGTGAGAGAAGTGATACTGGGAGGAAGTTTACTGTGGTGCCTACAGAAGTATCTTGGTTTAAAAGTTATATTCCTGAAATCAGCCTTAATATTAGCATTTAAAAGCTGATTATGAAGAGACACAGCAAGAAAAAACAGGTGGGGAAGTTGAAAATGTCTCAAATGGTCAGTAATTCCTCCAGAGAGGCAGAGTCACTACAGCTTGTGTAGCAAGATGCTGCCTCTGGGAATTACTGCTGGTTTGTCGCTCCTGTTTTCTTCATTGCTAAACAGTGTTATGTAGATGAAACTGTATGTTGCACTTAGTGAATTTGGACACCGTAACCCATTAGTTTGCATGGTTGTCTTCTGAACCTTCCTTTCAGCTCATTAGACTTTGACTAACTCAGTGTGTTCAAGCAGTTGGCATAATTTTTTGTTACGAGCACTTTGTGTGTTTGAGGATGACTGCATGGATCTGCCAAGAAGTGTCAGGTCATTCAGGTGTCAATACCTGTATTGTACTGGACACTGAGGACACAGTGCAGACAGATCAGGATCTGGCTCAATATGGCAGGGTAGTTTAAGGCACTTAGAAATTTTTAATGGTTTGCAGCTGCTTCATTAAGTCAAAGTCCTTCAGAAGGCTGGTGGAGCTGTTTTGAAGGAGTGGGAGAATAATTCTGGAAAACTTGTAGCACGCATAGCCAGCGTCCTTAGGCTGTGTCTGAGCTCATTGTTTTTATTTGTGTGTGTCTTACTGAACTGGCAGGTCAGATCGCCCAAAAGCAGGAGCTGCACGGACCAGCACAGCCAGAGTTTGGATGACATCCGCCTCTATAAGCACCGGCACCCGCCACTAAGTGCCACGCTGTCTTCAGACACATCCCACAGCTACACGTTTGGCTGCAGCCTGGAGGATAAGCTGTCTATCTATGGCTGCGTTTATTCCACAGCAGACTGCAAAACCAAGTCAGCCCTTTATGGGAAGCGATCCATGAACTGCCTCTCCTTGGATCTTCTGGGAGAGGACCAGCTGCCAGAGGAGTTTGTGGTGTAATGAGATTGGAGCTCTTCCATACCAGGAAACAGCTCATCATGGAAATATATACCTCATTAACACATGTGATGACATTCTGGTTCTTGCAGGAGATTGTGAGCAGCTTTGTTATTCATCTCTGTAATCAGTAAGTGGCATCACTTCTGCAGACCCCACTGCAGGGCAAATCAAGTGGAGTGTAGCACTTAACATTGGCATTTGAAGTGTCTGTCTGAGCAGAAAATGGATGCGGCCTGCACCATTAGCAGTGGCGCGATCAACATAAAAACCAAAAACAGTGGACCAAAACTGAGCTAGTAAAGCAAACACTGTGTCTAAATGGATTTATCAGAAAGAAATTTAAAGTCTGTCAGTTTTATCTTCCTGCCTTTCTCTTGTGGTCCCTTTATGTTAATGTTAGTGTACGGATAGTTTGGTTGTCTTGAGTTTGTGCTGCTGCAACACTGCCAACAGCTGTCAGGCCAGGATATACTCTGAGCACGTTTGGAGGGCTGTGTTTGGAAGTGTCTAGCCTATTCCTGTTGTAATGAACACAAGTTGCCTATTTGCTTTAACTGGGAGCAAGATATGCTCTGCCAGGAGTTTTTACCTTTTTTTGTTGTTTTGGTGTAAGCATCCAGCCAAATACAATGTGCATGGTTTTTTGGTTTTTTTTGGGTTTTTTTGGTTTGTTTTTTTTTTAATGCAACAAATGGAACTGTCTCTCCTACTGCCATCATGCAGACTGGTAAATAAATGCTTATATCTTTGGGGAGATGGGGGAGGGGATAAAACAAATTACTTGGCTGCTTCTGAGAGTACAGAAGACAAGTTAAGAGCATTAATTGACTAGATCTTGAAGACAGGAGTGTGACTGGAGAATTTGTCCAGGCATGATCACTCCTTATTTTTGAATCGTACTTTTATGTTGTTCTTTGCTTTGTCTTTAATAAATCTGTTCCTTCAAAATTTTTCCTCTGCTTAGGAGGCAGGTATGGACTAGAGAAAATCACTCTGGAAGGACAGAGTGACTGTGTCCAACTTAGTCATGGATAGGCCATGCAAATGTGAGTGTGTGGTGCTGCAGGGCTAGTGGCGGTGGAAGCATAGGGTGTTTGTGTGCCAGACCAAGGGTACTGCTTCGATTTTGAGTGGTGAAGCTGGCTGTGCTGGCTCTCACTAGGAAAATAATGATAATTATTCTGAGTCAAGCATTTGGTGTGGAAAACATCCTGCTACCTTGTTACATCCAAATAAACGTATGTTTGTTTGATTTCCTTCCCTATCTTACCCCAGCACCTCCTCCCCTCATCGATTCCCAGCATTTGGGAAGCTTGTACTTACAGGCACATGTAACCTGTGCACAGCTTTTGACAACCTTGCAGGTGGAAGCTAATAATTTTTTGGCAAAATCTAAAAGCAGACTGATGCCATTCTGCTGGTTGAGGAAGTGCGTGTTGTGCGGTGTTGATCACTGAAAAGCTGAAGATAGCTGAATTCAGGCAAGGACGGAAGCCAGGCTGTGGCAAGGAGGGTTTGAGCTGCTGCTTTCGAAGGCTTAGCAGTTGTCTGTAAACTGGTAAAATAGCAAATCCGTGAAGTCTGTCATCTCACTACTTCTATGCAAGTGAGTATGGTGTAGAGACAGAACATGCAGGTGCATCTGCCTTTACTGCAGTGGTGTCAGTGGCTGTACATCCTCTGACATGAGTGCAGCACCAAACCCTAGCTGTGTGTTTAAGGAATGAATGATGGGCAAAAGCTCACTGTAGCCATGACTTAATTGACCATGCCCTCTTTGATCACAGTGTTCTTTCTTTTTGTAATGAACTATTAGGAGCTGTGTGTTCACCATAGCCTCTTTTCCTTTCTTCCAAGCAAAGCCAAAATGCCTTTACAGAGTACTTGAGGTATGTTTACTGCATCCAAAATACACTCTCCTAAACGGATCTAAATGGATAAAGGACATCTGGCTGCTCCTGAACAGTCCAGTCATGCCTTTCACTGTTGGTTGCTCCCTGTTACCAGGGGCCTCTTTGGCCGTAAGCTGTGGGAGACAGGCATGGCCAGGATCCAAGAGGCCAGTGGCCATGCTGCAGGGAGCAGCCTTGTTCTTGCAGCCACCGTGGAGCTGCCAGGGACAGCTCTTACTGTGGCAGTGCCCGTCTGTCTGTGGACAGGAGTGACAGCCCTGCTGAACTGTTGCTCTCCCACACATGCAGGCCTACAGATATTCATGGTTCTGGCAATGGTTGTTAACAGGAAAAAACCTCAAAATTCAGCATAGTTGTTTGGAAAGGTGTCATAAAATGCACGTGTGCACCACATGCTCACATCTATGCACGCTTGTCCCAGAGACAATCACATTCATACCTGCTTCAGCCTAACCACCTTATTGAAGTGTATATTGCCACCAAGCAGCTTCATATTTTCTTTTTGCAGTTACCAAGCATTCGGTGGAATGGGTGAAATGCTGTAATCCTGCTCTTGCTGGTTTAAAAAAATATGCCAGTGCCTGAAAAAACAGTGTAATTGGCTCTTGCAGGAGCATCCATTGCCTTGTATCTACATGCACTTGTATGTACATGGGCGTTTTGTATTTATTTGTGGCTGGTGGGGAAGGCAAACTATCCAGGTCTGACAGCCTTCTCGCAGTGGTCTACGCAGCTCCCTCCAGTACTGTTACATATGCATATGAAGGGGAGACCAGACACTTTTGTACGTAGACTGAGAATGAATTAAGATCTTACAAGCACTGTGAATATCTATTATGCAAGTTTTTGTATTCATATGAAAAAACTGTTCCTGTTAGTAGTAGACTTTTTTTTTTGTTTGTCTTTGGATTTAGGAGGTCTCTTGTTATTTTTGGTTTTGATTAGTTTGGTAAAGGGTAATGTATAAGCATTTATCAGTTGATATTAGAAACTAGCTGCCACTATTTGTACATATTTGTAAATACTCGTGGTATAATCACTCTATTTTAATGGCAAAAGTTTCTCCTTTCCATGAAAGGAATTGCTTGTTTAAAATAAAATATAAATAATTATATGTACACCTGCAATAAAGTATGGATAGAAAAAGGTAATTGTGTATCTTTATTTTTTTTCCCTCCAAGAGGTATACATCAGTGACATCTTCCACTTGAGATAGGTTGGTTGTAGAAATGAACTTGCTGCCAGACTGTAACCCGTGTGAGTTTGGCTTGTGATGGCAAACCCAGAGGCACTGCAGCCTTTTCCTCTCTGCCCCTCTAAATGGCACGTTGCCAAAGGGGCGTCTGTCAGGCACTGAGGACCCAGTTGAGCAGGTTGGAGTCAGCGGGAACACTAATGGGAGCTGAATCAAACTGAAGAGACAAGTTAAGCTGCTCATGGTGGTTAGTCAAGAAAACTGAGCGTGCGAACTCCCAAGGGTGTAGAGAGATCCTGTCAGCATCCTCCTGGGCGCTGCATCCAAGGACAGGCACACCAGCCCACGTGATGCCAAGTGCTGCTGAAGAGTGCTCTGCCATAAGTCACCTAACCTGCTGGCCTGGTGTCTGGCATGCATAAAGAAAAGTTTTGCTTTCTTGGGATGTAAATCTGTGAAGGAGTTCCATAGTATAACTATTCACATATCTTCTCAAAGAAGCTTGCTGACTAGGGTTCCCCTCATAATTTTTTTTTTTTCCTTTTTCTCCTGATAGGTTACAGACCACTAAAGCTAGTGTTTCAAAAAAAAAAAAAAAAAAGTAACTTGATAGTGTAGTGTTGCCCCTATTCTTATGAACTCCCATGTTGTACTTTGTACTTCTGTCCAGTACCTGCTGTGTTACCTGTAAGTAAATTTTCAAGGACTTTAGAGATTCATCCAGTTCTCGTTTGGGGATGCTGGAAGGAGGTGGCTTGGTTACAGCTGGAGCTTTCTATGGAGACAAAATGAAATAACAGGCAAGTATTAAGTCATCTAAGGGGAGGGCTTTGTCACTTCTCTTTGTTTCTTTGCTTGGCAAGTAATAGCACCTTGCCTGCCAGGGTGGACTGCTGCTGACCAGAATACATAGGCTGAGTCTGGCTCTGAAGATGGGGCTTCCTGTGGTACCAGCAAATTCCATGTGGGTTCACTACAGTGATACAGCGTGGGATGGGGGAAGTGGTGTTATTGTACCTGACCGGGGTGGAGGCATGCCATATGCGGGAGCTGCAGGAGTGGTGAAGTGAGAGCAGTTCCTTGGTGGACTTCTTGGCAGCTTGAGAGCCTGAACATTTTTGAGCAAGAACTGGTCATGAAGCCTCACAGCGCTGGACATGTTCCCTGCTGTAGCTCCTTCCCTACCAGCAACGGTGCTTCCCCTGTCTGGTGGTGGTGTCTCCTCGTCAGCCTACCCAGGCTTCTCCTGGAAGCTCTCCTTGTGCTTATCCCTGCCCCCTGTGCCCCTACAGCTGCCTGCAACCGGAACCTCGGAGCCCCCGCTATGGAGCTGGCCCCTTCTGTGGGTGCCTGGCAGTGCACAAGGACCGGACCCTGCCTTCGTGTCTCTCCTGGAGGCCTACCCGGCTGCGGGGGCAGGAGGAACCAACATGGTTCCCGGGCCCTCGGCGGCAGTGGGCTGAGCCACAGCATAAATCGGTGCCGGGGGTGCTGCTCCTCGAGAAGCCTGAGTGCGCCTGGGAA